TATCAGATAGAAGATGGAATGAGAAACATTTGCTAGATATGAGTAGAGGGATGGCAGTTTTAACTTTCGGAGAGCAGTTTATTAATGAGCTGGGAATAAAAGCTTTAGAGACTTAAGGAGGAGATGAGGGGATTGGAATGAGAATCAGTGAATGTGGATCACTCATCCAAGGACTCACATGAGACAGGAAGGTGAAATGGATGTTAGGTACAGGGAGACAGTAAGTAGGGTTCTAGCAAGGGTAATTATTATCCATTTTAATGTTAGAAATTTTTTTTCATTGTCACCCTTATAAGTGACGCTTCACAAAGGAGGTTTAATTTTGAAAGTGCTATATGTAAATTTCCATGTTTTGCCAAGCTGGTGTCTTTCCAAATGTAGAGAGCCTAATTGAGGTGGGTGGAGATTGAAAGTCTAATAATGATCGTAACATACCTTCAACCCCAGGACTGGTATTGGATGATTTTAGTGTGCCATGTACATCTGTTGATGAGAGTCCTAGAAGAGAATGGAAAATAAATTCCAGTGCAAGGCAATTCAAGATGGTATTAGTAGTGGATGTATTGTAAGTCAGTTGTTGGCAGAGGAGTGTATCTAGCTTTTGCAGAAACCAAAAGTGACTGCTTTAAATCAACAGGAAGCATCCCATCGCTGTGTCAGGTATATTGGAGCACACAAATAAAATAAGTAGCCCTTGCCTACAATCTAAAGAGAGAAAGGTCATCTCCATGAAGTGACTAGAGCACAGCAATGAACAAGATACGGATTCTGTGACACCAAAATTAAGACAAGTATGTAGTAGGTACTTTAAAGAAGGTCCTTTAAGAATGCATAGGCTATAACTCAGTTAAAGATGACAGGAATTTTAGGGTAAGGAAAAGCATAGAATGAGAATTGTATATATGGAGAAGAATGTGAAACAGAGGGGAAATTTGAATACAGAAAGTAGATGATTTTCCAGAAGACAGCTTAGATCCAGAATTATTAGTCTGCCGTTCATATACCAGAATTGATAGTAGCCTTTTATTTTTTAAATTTTTAAAAAGATTTATTTATTTATTTATTTTAAAGATTTTATTTATTTGAGAGAGAGAGTGAGAGCAAGAGGGAGAAGCCGACTCCTCGGTGAGCAGTAGGCCAGATGTGGGACTCAATCCCAGGACCCTGAAATCATGACCTGAGCCGAAGGCAGATGCTTAACGGACTGAGCCACCCAGGCGCCCTTATTTATTTATTTTAGAGAGAGTGTGCAAGCACGGGGGGTGGGCGGGTGGGATGCGGGGGGAAGGAGAGGAGAGGGAGAGAGAGAAAATCTTGAGCAGACTCCCCACTGAGTGCAGAGCCTGAAGCTGGGCTCGATCTCCTGACCCTGAGATCATGACCTAAGCCCAACCGACTGAGCCACCCAGGTGCCCTTGATAGTGGCCTTTTAAAACTAGCTTTAAAAAATTATAGAAGTAGTGGGTGCCTGGGTGGCTCAGTCATTAAACGTCTGCCTGCAGCCCAGGTCATGATCCCAGGGTCCTGGGATCAAGTCCCACATCAGGCTCCCTGCTCAGCGGGAAGCCTGCTTCTCCCTCTCCCACTCCCTCTGCTTGTGTTCCTTCTCTCGCTGTCTCTTTCTCTCTGTTGAAAAATAAATTTAAAAAATCTTAAAAAAAATTATAGAAGTAGTATTTGCTCCTGTTTCTTTTTAAATTCAAGTTTAGGGGCACCTGGGTGGCTCAGTTGGTTAAGTGGCTGCTTTTGGCCCAGGTCATGATCTCAGGGTCCTGGGATCAAGTCCTGCATGGGGCTCCTTGCTCAGTGGGGGGTCTGCTTCTCCCTCTTCCTCTGCCCCCCCAACTCATGCTCTCTCTCTCTTTCTGTCTCAAATAAATAAAATACATAAAACATTTTTAAAAAATTAATTCAAGTTTAGTATCAAAGTAAATCTTTGCCTCCTCTCCCAACCCCTGACCTTTACTCAAGGATAACTGTTTTTATGCTTCTTAGATATTCTGAAAATGTTAAAACGTATTTCTATATATACATATTCTTATAAACATGGTTCATTTATACTCTTCCTCAATCCACATTTTTGAATTGGCAATATAACTTTGGGATCGTTCCATATTGTCACATTGATTCACCTTATTTTAGAGCTACACAGTGTTCAACTATATGAATGTACATTATTTGTCTACTGACCTACACAAAAACCTTTTGAGTCTGGCGTAGTGTGTTAATTTTTTAAAAAAGGTTAATAATAAAAATTTTATTATGGTAGATAAGGTTTTCTACAGGACGATATGTGTAGTATATATTTTATTTCTATTTGCATACACACATTTCCATGTGCCTGACCTATAACCTCGGGTTGGGAAAGACTTTAAAACTACGTGCCGCAGGGGAAGAACAGTCCTTGTTTGACCTGGGCCTTTGCTCACTATTGCTAGAGGTAACCTTATGGGTTGAGATGCTTTCATCTGCAAGGAACAGAATGCCGGACTTAGAAGTGCCTTAACCAGTGAAGGCACTGAATTACCTCGCACACAGGAAATCCAGAGGTAGGCTGTTGCAGGTGCGGTCGACGTAGCGACTCAACTTCTCCAACTCATGTAATTCTCCCCTCAGAATTCCCAGAGTTGTCCTGGCCCAGGCATCACAGCTTCCCATGGCTGTGTTCAAAGGCACACAGACTGAAGGGAGATTCTTGCCTGCGGATCCGGAAGGAAATCTAGTCCCAGAAGCCCCTTGACGGACCTCCCCTCACCTCCCGTTGGCCAGGACCATGTCACATGACCACACTGTGGCTGCGCGGAAGGCTGAGAGCGCAAGTCTGCGGTGTTCTGTGTCTATAGAGACATGGGCGTTCTCAGCAAGGTGGAGTGAAAGGAGTTGGGACAGACGTTGCGTGGATCCTATAGAGGTGTCTTGAGTAGCTGATACCATTTTTGGATAGAGTTAAAGTCTGCCTCCTGGTAACTCCACTTTGGGTGTTGGTTAAGCTCTCTAAGCTATCCCTAAAGAACAAGACTTCTAACGAAATAAGTAGAAAGCTGTAATGTCTCCCTTTTGCCCCTTCCACCAGCCTCCTTCATACGATCATTCCTGTGCTGTCAAAGTGGAGAAGAATACAGAGCATCACTGTTTTCTGTGGCTCAGACTCTTCCCTTGCTTTTTGATTGGACTGTGTATCAGCTGCTTTGCTTCCTAAGGTTTTTTTTTTTTTTATGGGAATTCATCAAAATTTGTAACTGCTCTCGTATTTATTGTTTCTGCTTTGATTGTGGCAATCCAGATACATGAAATAAGTTGGTAGAAACAAACAGGTCAGAATTTCTACCAAATAATTTGGATTAGAATTATGAGGACAAGTTGTATCCTTCTATCTTTTTAGGGTGCTCTGCAGGGATGCTCTAAATTTAACTGTAATATGTGTCTTTCCTTTCCTTTCTCTTCTGTATTGTCAGTCTTTTAAAAGACCCGTGATTGAGAATGGGTGGTTAAGTAGGTAGGTGATGTGGGTATCCTTAGCTCTAATTTATACACCAGACTTCATTTCTTTGGACTTAGTGTTTGTGAAGCAGTTATAAGAGTTTGGAAAAAAGTATCAATGGTGTGGAAAGAAAAGGTCAGGACCTTGGAGCATAGGTGTATGTCACTGTCCCCTTGACTTTCTAACTAGCCTGTCCCAAACTTTTAGGAATTTCTTTCAAGAGTCCATCTCTCTTGGGGTCTGAGCACCTGTGAATCATAGGCTTCCCTTTTCTGATTTTATTTGGCTCATCATTCTCCAATCCCTATTCCCCAGAATTATTAGATAAGAAAATATGTGTAAGGATGCTCTTTTTGAATGAAAACGTATAATAAGCATGGATCCGATTGTTGCCTTTTCTAGATGAGAGGTTAATGGAGACCGTGTTTGCTGGGACATTTTGGACTTACTTCCCCTGATACTGAATTTGTAAAATTATTACCTTTAAAACTAAGCTCAGACTTAATGCCTTCGTTTCCTTTGTGCACCACTCTTTGGGTCTCTTTGCCTCCTGTGTGGGAATTTACAAGAATCATAAGCCTTAGGAGGTTTAAAACTGGAATCTCATCGGTTTAAAATTCGCAAAATACATCGGTTCAGAGAAAAAAGGGCTACTCTACTCAAATAACATCATTTTCACATGATATATTCCCTTAAAGGTCACATTATAAGACAAGAATGTGAGGTCTGTTATTGAATAGAAAAGTGGAAAACTGAACAAGAATTGTAAACATTTGAATAGAATGACAGTCGGCTTACCCCCAACTCCATATTCTTTCCTACAGGCCACTTGGATGTGGCTGGTGTAGTGTATAACTGAGTATCATTTTATGGTTGGTGAAACCTTTTGATTTTAGAGCATGTGAGTCTTTTACAAATGTCTCTAACTAACATATGGTAGGACAACAGAATATCCAAATTGACAGCCAATCTGACTTCTTGGCTAAGCCACACCAGGCACAGTTTGGTACCTAAACTATTTGATTTCTTTCTTTTTCTTTCAGTTCCTTCTAAAAAATAGTAAGAAACCTCACTACTTATTTCTCAGTCCCAGAAAGGACAAAATCCTTTTTTAATTTCTTTTTTCCTTTTGCTTCAGTAGGACCTTCTGGTCCAATTTTCCTCCCAAGATAATGCCCCAAATAATTGTAGCAGGGACTTGAGATTTTTGCCTACTTTGAGTGCTGAAAGCGAGAAGTATTCCAAAAGAATTGCGAAGTTTGGTTAGTGAGAACACTCCCTATCTGTTCATAAGGGCAGTGGTGGCCTCTTCCACTAGCACCTACTTTGAGAAACATGGCAGGGCTGAGTGACCTTGAAGGTTTGGGTCCATTATGAAGACCAAGAGTAGAAATCACTGCCCTCAGTGGTACTAACCTTCCATAAATATTAGCCTATAGAAGAGAAGAACGGAGGGGAGAAAGCTTGGGCCTGTATGAAAGACACATAGACCATCCCATTTTCTTTGTTTGCACTTTAGAAGTTCACCTGGACCCCTACCGAACATGGTGCCCTGTTGCAGACTGTCAGACAGTGTGCCCTGTTGCCTCCAGTGACCCGGGACAGCCTGTGCAGGTGGAGTGCCCTTCCTGTCACCTGAAGTTCTGCTCCTGTTGCAAGGATGCTTGGCACGCAGAAGTCTCCTGTAGAGATGGTCAGCCCATCGTCCTGCCAACAGAACACGGGTAAGAAAGGAAGCGGTCTTTGGCATGAGTCACCGGTTTTCTCAGAAAGCCCAAATAGGTTGCCTGGAGAAGGAATTCTCTTGTGATGGAATTTAGAGATTAGTTATTTCCCTGGGGAACTTCCCTGAGAAGTGTCTCCGAATTGGGAAGTTGTTAACAAAGAGTACTGACAGAGCCTTTCTCAGGGACTTTTAAGTATTGACCCCGGGACAATCTCCGAGACTGCTGAAATTAGGGTTTGTATACGTTTTGATTCCTTTTCAGGTAGGGCGAGGCACACGGGCCACTGGTTTTCAATAGCAAGGCATGGCTTGTCCACAACCTTTTGCTTAGGAAGCATGAGCACCTGCTATGGATTTACCTCGTTCTTCCTGCTTGCAAAGCGGTGCAGAAATTATTTTGTGACCCGACTGTGTGGCAGTTTGTGAGGCGTGCCAGTCCTGTCAAGGAGAGCACCACAATAGAAACAGCAGTCCTTCAGGGCAGTGCAGTGCTCAGTGCACAGGTCCTAGAGGAAAAGGCTACATCTCTCAGGACTTGGTGCCTAAAAGATGGTGCCAAGGCTCAGGTTCTGTTACAGTGAGAAGCAGTTAAATCCGTACCTTTCAGTACAGAAGGATTTTATGGCAGCAGAAAGGCCCAGAGCGAGAGACTTTTGTGCTCAATCCCTTGCTTTGCTTGAGGCTCTGGCTATTCTGCACGAGCAAGGACAGAGGTACCAGTGTTCCAGTCCAGTTGGCTGACTCAGCCCGCACCCTCGGAGTGTGAGGAACCATTCTTTAGGAATAGTAGCACTACCTGGCTAGGATAGTGTGCTCGAATCTTAGACCAAACCAACCAAGAGGAAAAACAGATCTAGTGCACATGGCAGGCATGTGCCTTCTTAGCCAGTACCCTCTGCACATGGCAGTGAGGTGTGTGGGTATCATGGGACAATGTGAAGATCCCAGAGGAGAGAGAGGTTGAGTTCTTTATTTATTTTTATTTTTTAAGATTTTATTTATTTAAGAGAGAGAGAGAATGAGAGGGGGGAGGCTCAGAGGGAGAAGCAGACTCCCCACTGAGCAGAGAGCCAATTCGGGGCTCGATCCTGGGACTCTGGGATCATGACCTGAGCCGAAGGCAGACGCCCAACTGACTGAGCCACCCAGGCGCCCCGAGAGGTTGACTTCTGACATTGTCGCTTGGTATCTGTGGGACCTCATGGAAGTCACTCAGCCTCTATGAGTCTGTTTCTCTATTTGGAAAAAAAAAAAAGTGGCAGTGGGAAAGAGAATTAAGATAGTAACTGTCCCACTGCTCTAATAAGGTTATTGTGAGTACCAAATCTGATCCTGGATCCGACAACACTTTGTGAACTTGATGATTCTGTGTGCTGGAGGCTGGTTTTGATGAACGGTAACTAACGTGCAATGCAGCGCTGTGGGCCCCCCTAACCTTCCCACCCCAATGTGTTCCACTTATTTTCCATGTCCCCTAAGGCTGTGAGCCTGTGCTAACCTATTCATCTGTCTGGAGCAGGTCTCTTTAATGAGACTGGGCATTTATTTTCAAATATTGATTATCGCCTCCCCTGACCTCTTCCATCTATTTATCGGAACAGATCACCAGAAAGATTTATCTATGCTGTGTCAGATCCAGAGCTAGTTCTTCTGTTGTGTAGCAGAATGCTTGTGTTTTTTATTTAGACAGTGTGTGCTCAGGGAATGAAATATTAATTTGGCAAAATAATGAGTTAAGTCAGGTGTGGAAAATACAATTATATCATCACTCCAAGCCAAAGGTAAATAAATTAAGGTTCTTTTTTTGTTTTGAGTCATCTGAACAACTAATAATCTGTGTCTCTCCTATTTCTACCCCCACCCTCTTCCATGGAAGTGAATTAAGCTCAGATGAGGAAGAGTCCACTACCTACCCATCAGGAGGCCTAGGAATTCAGTTGGTGACCATACAGTTAGCTGTTGAGTTAATTGCACTCCGCCCACTCTTCCCCAGCCCTGGTTACTGTACACCGTTGTGGTTCCAGCAGCATTCTTGATCCCCGCCCCCATAATTTCTCATCCATTTTGTGTCTAGGGCCCTCTTTGGGACAGACGCAGAAGCCCCCATTAAGCAGTGCCCTGTTTGTCGGGTTTACATCGAACGCAACGAAGGCTGTGCTCAGATGATGTGCAAGAATTGCAAACACACGTTTTGCTGGTACTGTCTCCAGAACCTGGACGTAAGTTCCACTTGGAAGCGTCTTCTCCTGTGGTCTTTTCTCCACTCTATCTGTGCAACCGTCAGGATCCTACAGCCTTTCCTTTTAAAATCTTGAGCCTACATTTGTCCTGCAAAAGAAGGTTATTTTTCTTAAGAATACTTTCTGAGCCTGCTACTTTATTTTTATTTATTTATTTATTTATTAAAAGATTTTATTTATCTATTTGAGAGATAGAGAGAGCACACAAGCAGGGGGAGGGGCAGGGGGAGAGAGAGAAGCAGGCTCCTCGCGGAGCAGGGAGCCCAATGCAGGACTCGATCCCAGGATCCCGGGATCATGACCTGAGCCGAAGGCAGACACCCAACCGACTGAGCCACCCACGCGCCCTGAACCTGCTACTTTAGATGTCTAGCAAATGTCTCTTTGAGTCCCTTAGCTGTGTCAGCTTAGCTGTGAAGGCAAGCTTTTGTTTTAGGGACGTTTCCTGCTTTGGGGGTCAGTGTCTCCTTTTATCATGTAAAGAACTGTCAGTGTATTCATTTATTTTGTTGCTGTAACAAATCACCACAAACGTAGTGGCGTAAAACAGCACAAATTTATTGTCTTTAGTTCTGTCCTCCGGCACTCTGACGTGGGTCTCACTGGATTAAAATCCAGGTGTCCTCAGGGCTGCATTCTTTTCTGGATTCCAGGGGAGAATCCATTTCTTTGCTTTTTCTAGCCTTTAGAAGCTGCCTGCCTTCATTGGTATGTGGCCCCTTTCTCCGTCTTCAGAGCCAGCCACATCACGTCTCTTTGACGCCTTCCTCCATTGTCACGGCTCCCTCTGACCACAGCTAGGAAAGCTGCTCTGCTCTAAGGGCGCGCTTAGATGAGAGGAAGAAAAGGTGGTGTGAAGGACTGACGAACAGATCTTCCTTCAGTTCTGGTGTTTCTTCTAGCACGCGTGCTACCCCAAATAGGAATAGATAGTCCCTGTTTTGGCAATCTGGACTAATGAAATATGTCCGTATCAGTGTGAGCCCTCCATCATGGTGAGGTGGACATTCTTTTCTCAATTTTTCTTTCTTTTTTTTTTTTTTTTTTTACAAGATTTATTTATTTTAGAGAGAGAATGAGAGCAAGTCAGCACAAGTCAAGTCGGGGGGAAGGGTGGAGGGAGAGAATCTCAAGCAGACTCCACACTGAGCGTGGAGCCTGAGGCAGAGCTCGATCACACGACCCTGAGGTCACAACCTGAGCCGAAATCAAGAGTTGGATGCCCAACCGACTGAGCCATCCAGGCGCCCCACTCAACTTTTCAGTTGCTTAGTTTGCTTCGGTTTGATGAGCAGCTCTGGTGATGCTTTTGTATCACGCAGTCAGTGAGTCGGTGTGCGGTTAATACGGGGTGCATGCTGGTCACCACATGCCTGATTTTTAACTGAAAATTAGCTAAGTTGTTTCAGATGACATCTGTGAGGAAGAATTTTAAACAGCCTGATCTCAGTATTTCAAGCAGTGCTATAAATTGGGGGAAAGAAAACTGAATTTTAGACTGTGGAAGCTCAGCAGCTCAGGTTGAAAGAAGTGTTTTTATTTTTTTTTTAATACTATTTATCATAACCCCTTGAATTACAAGTATATGGGATATTTGAGACCCATTATGATTCCAAACGTGTGATACTCTGGGCGAGGTTTTCATTGATTGCACACCCCTTGTGTTTTTACAAAGGAAAGAAATCTTTTCTGTTTGCCTTCAGGTTTAACCAGAACATTAATTGGGTTCATATCCACAAGGAAGCTGAGCCCATGAGGTTCTTTTTAAGAGGCAAGAACGTAAGGGAATGAAGATGTGTGCCAGATCTCCCCATCCTTTGGCTGAAATACGTTTGGGGTATGGTGTTGCAAAGAACACACTGTTCTGTTACTTGGACTGTTCCGGTGCTCGAGTTGAAATGGTACAGATGTTAAAAGGCTGGATACACAGACTTCAAATACTGAAGCGTCTTTTTCTGGTCATTGTTTTCTGAGATCTCATTTTCTCAGTTTTGGCCCGGGCACTGGCTTGTTGGTAATGATGTTTTTCTCTCGACAAGTGTTCTGTGTCAGATGGTGGTGTTGATCTTTGTTTATAGGAAAGTTTCAGAGCGTGGGTCTGGGAGCAGAATGATTGTCCAAGAGCCAAGCCTGAGATGGATGCCCAAAAGGAGTGATTTTTGAGCTTTGCTGGGGTGTCGAATTTGCTCCTGCCTCGGTCCTCGTCCCTGCTGGTTCAGAGGACGAAGTGTTCTTAATCTGCCTTGGGGACCTCAGAGACTTGTCCCCTTCCATTATCTCTTTTCTCTCCTGTGCCTTCAATTTCCACCAACGTCTCCATGTGCTCAGTGTGTCCCATTTAAAAACGAGTCACACTTTTCTCCAGCCTGCATGTCTCCCTTCCGACCGTTCTCTCTCTCTCTCCTTCTCTTAGAAGCCAAGCCTCACAACAGCACGATCACCTCTTGTTGATACATACCTCCAGTCTTTGAAGTGCACTCAGCTTGCCACATCCTCACAGCCCTGACTGTGTTTTTCCAAGGCTTTGAGTGCGGTCTTTTGGGTAAAATCCAGCGGGTGTTTCAGTCCTCCTCTCGCCTGGATTCTCCCCTGCCTCGGGCGGCTTGACCACCTCCGTTTCAGTGATGGCATCTCTGCTGCTTTCCTTCTACCTTTCTGGCCCCTTCTGTTTCCTTTCCAGGTGCCTCCTTGACTCATTCTTTCTTCTTTTTCTTTTTTTAGAGTTAGACAGCAAGAAGGGGGAGGGGCAGAGGAGGAGGGAGAGAGAGACTCTTAAGCAGGCCCTTCGCTGGGCCCGGGGCTCGAGCTCACACCCCGAGTTCACCAGGAGTCACCTGCGCCGCCCAGGGTCGCCCTGGCCGGCCGACACCCTCGTCGCCCGCCTGCCTGCCCTGTGTCCCTGGGTGATCTCAGCCACTTCTGCGGCTTCCTCCTCCCCGTGGCTGCTGATTTCCGTCTTCCCCCCAGTTCTCATCTGTGCAGTCAGCTGCCTTTCGAACAGGGTGGCGTGGATACCTCAAGTGTCCCTCGGGTTCGACGTGTCCAGAGTGCGGCCAAAGTGCCTCGTCTTCCCAACAGAGTTCATCTCTCTGTTGGTTTCCTTCTCCTTCTTCCCACAGCGAGTTAGTTATCTCCTCAGGACCCCGCGTCTGTGTTTCCCATCTCAGCTGCGGGCATTTTTTTCTCGCGTGCCCTCCACTCCCCATCCTCACTCCACGTCGCACCTGGGCGGGAGCCACCTGTCGGAGATGACTGGGCAGGATGCCAGTCCTTTCTGGACTCAGTCAAGAGTCTCGATGATGATGATCCGTTTTCACTCGGTGACGTGTAAACGTACTGTGATAGAGTCTAAAGACTGCAGCCTTGGAATGCCTGGAGGCCGCCATTTATATTCCGCGAAAGAGCCTTTGCTTCCACCAAGGTGATCCGATGTGGTTAGTGTTTATGTCTCCGTTCAAAAGGGCGTGTGTACTGAAACCGCTCTCTTTGTTTTTCAGAATGACATTTTCCTCAGACACTATGACAAAGGGCCGTGTAGGAATAAGCTGGGCCACTCGAGAGCCTCGGTGATGTGGAACCGGACGCAGGTACCCTGACCTTGAAGGGAGCAGGAGATAGTACCGCACTCGGGATGGCTAGAAAAGCCCACCTAACCCTCCTCCCGACCCTGTTCTCTACTGACCTGTCCCAGCCCGGGAGGTTCTGGGAAGCACGAGCACCTTGAGGATGAGTAGTAGAGGGCAGGGCACCAGAGCAGCCCGCTGATTACCAGTGACCGCCAGAATCGAGGCAGATATTCTTTCCTCTTGGAAAAATGGTAGGATGACTTTCCTAAAGCCCTGTAAGTCCTATTTCGTATAAAAGGCAGCGCTCTAAAACCCTGTGAACTGCCCCCCCCCCGACAAGGCTTAGATTCCTCTGCACACGCCATTGTGTGTTTCTGTGGCAGGTTCAGAGGGAGTCCTGGTTTGTTTGTTTGTTTGTTTATTTTTAAGATTTTTGTTTATTTATTTGACGGAGAGAGACACAGTGAGAGAGGGAACACAAGCAGGGGGAGTGGGAGAGGGAGAAGCAGGCTTCCCGCTGA